ATTAAGAAAAACATTTAAATGAGCCATAATGCCAGTTCGTCGAGTATCAGGCAGCAGAATGATATGCAGTGGGGGGGGGGCACTCATTACTTATGCCTTTCAACCAGCCCACACTCTACTCTCCTTCAGCTGCTAAAGAGCAAAGCTTTCTGTGTTCCTTAATCCTTATCCCTCTACAGACCTTTTCCCTGCGGGAGCATGTCATTTTTTCAGAATGTGTTAGCAGCCTGAGTGAATTCCTACCAATTAGCAGCTTAGGCCATGTGTGTGTGTCAATACTGGTCTCCGTATCCAAGTTTCAGCTGCGTTCTGCTGTAAATCAGCAAGCAGAAGCAGCAGTTTCTGTACATGTTTGACTGGCACTCGCTCTAACTCTGCACACTCAGTACATATCTATTTGGACCAATTAGGAAGGCTTTTACCATGGTGGCAGTGCAGGATACGGAGACCCTGATTCATTCGCTGAAAAGCACCTTAATAAATTCCTCACTTTTAATGTTTCACACTGTTAAAAGGAATGCCAGCCGCATTCCCCATTACAGCTTTCAATAAATGACAAACGGCAGCGGAGTAAACTGGAAGCAAGCGGCAGCGTCACACTTTTCAGCTTGCCTTTCAAAGCCATCCTAATAGCAAATAAAGACGTGTTAGGCATTGTGTGCTGGCGCTTCAGCAGCGAGGCACTTTGTTCCACAGTTGCCCAGGCTTAAGTTAATGAATAGAGCCGCTGCTTGACTGAGGCTAATTCACATCGCTCAGCAGAAGAGCTTCTATATCGATGTAGATCAGTTACACAGGAAGTGAAAGAGGGAAAGAAACTCTGAGGGGGGGGCAGGGACATTAAAGAGTGAAGCAGGGACACGATTCAGAAATAACTCGACATTTGATTCAAGTCAACAATGTGTAACTTTGTGTTTCATTTAGCTGTAAAGGCTGACGCGTCTAAATACTTCACAGTAATTAACAACTGAATGACTCCATTCAATTCAATCTTATTTATTTGGTGCCAACATACAACAACAGGCAGCTGAAAGTGTGCATAAAGTTTAGACCTTGATGGATTGATGCTTCACCTTTAATGCAGCCGCTCCAGCCGCTGCTGGTCTCAGCTTTGTGAAAGTGAAAACCACACTCAGCAGGATGGAGGAGCTGAATCCCGTTTCACAACGCTTTGCCTTAAGACGCTGCTGGGTAGTTTTCACTCATTATCTGCCTGCACGCTGAACAGCTGTTCATCTGATTTGCAGCATTGCACTAAGTCTGAGCTTAAGGTAGAACTTCAAAAGTCACACCATCAACACACACTACAGCACCATTCCCACTGCACTCGTACTGCACTACGCCTCTACCACACCTGATCAGTAACGTGGGATTCTGGCTCCTTCCTTCTACTGACTCCATCTCTTATTCAGCTGCACGTTCATCTCATGTTCATCTGTCTAAGCAATGGAAAAGTCTTCTTTTGTTGATGAAGCAGGGTGAGACAGTGTGGTGACTGAAGCAGACTGCATTGTGCATGTAGATGAAGGGAAGAGAGGTGATGATGGGGATGATGATGGGTAGGTGTTAGGAAGACAAATACTGAAGGACAGACGACGATGAACTTTGTGAAAATGACAGAAAAGACTGTGGAAAACATGTACTTCAAGAAGAGGGAAGAACAGGGCGATGCACACAGGTGGACCACATCTATATCAGAAGGTAAAATCTGAAAGAGATCAGGGGAGAATGTAGCTGGGCAACACTGGATGCTAGTCTGTAGAATAACTGCATAATAACAAGCCATGGTGAAAACGAGGATTAAATGGTGAAAGCTGAAGAAAGATGCTGCACAGAGTTCAGGGAGGAGTTGAGGCTCCGGGACAGTGAGGGACATGGAGGAGTCGACAGGAGTGCTGGGACATACAGTCAAGATGGCAAAGCAGACTGGACACTAAGACTTCTGTCACCTGGTTAGTCAGAGGCTGGAAAGGATGTGCAGCACAGCTGGCTGAGGAGTGTGAAATGTGCTAACAAGTGAAGAAAGTGTGTGCAGAGAGAAAGGAGCTGATGGATGCAGAGAGAGAGATGGGGGAGGACAGAGGAAGGACAGTTAGCTGGAGATGAGACTGTTTAACATAATCCTGGAGAGAACAAGAAGAGCAACATGAAACTACGCATGGTTCCCCTTCCTGTGCCTGTCACACAGCGCTGCGTTGTGTAGCTCGATTCATTTCTAACATTTACATAGTGACTACTTTTGCAGTTGTGTGCTTTATCAGAGCACACACTCCCTCTAACAGACAACACGTTACACCCTGTGGGCTAAGGACACACAGCTGTGTCAGGTAGAGGTCACCACATGTCATTTTGCTCATACGCGTGGGGACTAGTCTTCCTTTGAACCTGAGGAGTGACATGATCAGCTGCATGTTGCAGTGCTGGCCTTGTTCACAGAGAGGCATCATCCCACTGTGGATGGAGCAGCTCGCTCTCTGTGAGCATCCAGACCTGGGACCAGAAGATGACCGGCAGTGTTGTGTCTTTACTCTCGTCCCCCCCAACCTCCCAAAACCAGACCATCAGAACCAGTCCAATGCTGATATAAAAAACACAACAATTTACAGCTAGCGTTCACAAGAGACGAGGATTATAAAACCTTCAACTGTACCTACAACGAAGCCAATACATGTGGACAACTGAACATGAGGTGGCTCTCGTCCCTGTGAGTCCGTGATTTTATGATGAGTAATAAAGAAAGCTGCTCACAACACGATGAATACGTCGGTGTATTTACTGTGAGAGTCGACGTGGCAGCCATAAATAACTCCGTTTGGATTCATTTACTTACTCTTAGCTTTGTTCAAATCATAGTTTTGTTTGTGGTCATTATTCAGTTTTTGTTTCTCAGACTTTTTATTCGATTTCGTGCTCAGTTCTGATTGAATAATTATAATAAAATGATGAAAGGTACAAATGATCTTATTGGCTTGTGAGTGGACTCTGTGATCGTCCCGGTGCACCTCAGTGCAGCATGTAACACCTTTGTTACTCATCTCTGTCACTACCTGTGCGTTTACACATCACGGCTGTGTTTAGTCATTAGTAATGAACCAGCTCTTGCTGCTCTCTTCTCCTTACGCTCAGCCCTGTCCAGTCTGCTTGAGGTTACTTCCTTTAAAAAGGGAGTTTTTCCTTCCTACTGTCACAAAGTGCTTGCTCTGATGGGGTTCCTCCTGCTCTGTAAGGCAGAGTCTGTTCTATGTAAAATACTTTATTCAGAAAACTGAGCTGAAGATAAGAATGAAAGTCACAATCAGTGAGGAGGACCATGGCGTTACGGCAAGAACGAGGCCTGCAGAGGTTTGACAGTGCAGATGCTGAAGGTACTGCAGGTGCTGCTGGGAGTGGCACAACACTACCGGAGGCTGGTGCAGTGCATGTATGAGCACAGCGGTGAGGTGTGCAGCAGAAGTCACAGACGGGTGTGGGACGGGGTTGGATTATATCTGGGAATCTCCTCTGAGCTGCTTCTTGTTGCAGAAACACAGAGAGGAAGCTGAACGGAGGAATGTGGCACCCTGCTCTGTTTCTGTGACTAATGAAAGGATTAGTGGTGAAGTGCTGAAAGACACACTGATGAAGATTGAAGCTGACAGCTACTGAAGTACACACACACAGGAGCAAGTATGCTCAACTGTGACGACAACAAAAGGCACAACGCGTTGATGTGATTAAAGCATCCATGCATCAGTTAGTCACAGCACAGGACACACATGCTTCCGTCACAGCGATCAGTCCTGTTTATGATTGTGTCAGCGTGAATGACATGAAGGCTAACAGTGGTAACAGTTACACTCATTTCCTGCAGCTTTGAGCTTCATGGATGCTCCACGTTGGTGTCTTCATGACGTGATCTTCTGCTGCATCTTCAACAGCAGCATCAGAGCAGCGCTTTCGATGAGTGTGCACTCTGATGCAGTCCTGCTCCTCTCTAAGACAGATCGAACTCAGCTGCAGGTTCTCCAGCCTGCTGCTCTCTCTTGCTTGGCCTAATGGTGACTGGGTACAGTCAGAACGTACCAGTGTGAGTGTGGGTTTGTCCATCAAGCTGCCACTCAGGCTGACAGCTGTGAGTGCTACAGTGCTTTCATTTAGACTGAACATCAGTCACTGGCTGCTACAGTCACGTGATCAACTTCTCCTGGCAGCTTAACAGACACACAAACAGTTCCTGTGGTTCATGCTCAGGTACTTGATGAAGTACAGCAGCCAGTTATTTCATCGAGTGTGAGGACCTCAGTGTGCTACGTCTCACTCAAGCGTGCCACCTGAGACGCCGTGCAGAGACAACACAGGTGTATTTCATTAACACCACACAGCTTTTCTACGTCAGGATTTTCCCGGGCTCAGGAGGACGGAGCCTTTCTGAGCTGTGACAGAGAGGGAAGGGTACAAACCCGGGTCGACCCAGGCTAACTCGTACAGACAGATGGCCATCAACATTCGATCACCAACTAACCAAACGTCATGAATGTGGAATCGTACTCTCAAACAGAAAGCTGCGTCTATAATTATAAGACTAATATCAAGAAGGTGATCACAGACACAAGACCGAGTAAATGCTGGGAAAGTAAACAGTGTGAACTTAAGCTGGAGATAGACCAGTTCACCCAGTCTGAACTGAAAGAAGATAGAAGTGACCTGGAGTGCTGCTGTGACTGTGGCTGCTGTGGAAGGACCTGTAGTGTACATATGTGGGACATGTGGAGGTGGGGGGGTTTCCAGTAAGCATTGTGGTTATGGTCAATATTCTCCATATTAACATTCTCATGGTTTTTAATGCACACACACACACTTGTTTTCATATCTTAGTGAGGACTATTGAACATAAACTGAACCCTGACACTAAAACCACTGTGAGCCTCAAACATGGCTTCAGACCTGTGGGGGCGGGGCGTTTGTCCCCACAGCTGGCTGTTGGTCCCCGCAAACAGATCTAAGCACACAGCAGCTCCTACCTCGTCTATTTCAGAGATGTAGACGGGCTTTTCTTCAAACCCAACAGGCATGGGCTCATTGGGTGGGATCTCCACTTCTTCGTACATCTTACAGTTTTCTCTGCGGATTCCCTCGGGCAGCAGCATCTGAACGACCAAACAGAAGAAAAGGTTTGACACAATATCTCAAAGACACAGAACATTTAACAGGAATTTGAACACTGTGAATCTGAAGCAATACGTTTAGTTTCCCCACTGCAAAAACGCAAAACACTATGAGCAGAGTGTACTTGGTATTTGGAGTTAAGTGGGAGTTAGAGATAAACAGCACAGAGGAGCCTGGGTCCATAACACAACACAGGATGTAGGTCCACAGAGCAAAACGCCTCTCTGAGCCCAGACTGGGTCTGTAGCATGTTCTCTATGTGACTACAGAGTCTAACACAACCACGTTGAAACTGTCACTGATGATAATAAAGACTAAATATGAACATCAAGTCAGTGCCTATACATTTATTCCACATATAAATCAGTCAAGAGAAAAAGAGCCCACCTGACCGACTCCAGTAACTGTCACATGGGAAATGAAGCCACTGTGAAGCGTCTGACTTACAGGTTCACGAGTACACGAGCTCAGCTTTCTACACTAGAGCGCCCCATCTCTGACCATCATCAGTGAACCTACTTCCTGTCTGTGCAGAGGAACAGCTTCTACCAGCTGATGGAGGAAACATGCTTCATGAAGCAGTCAGCTGGTTCGGTCATATGAAACGTTTCCTTCTGCCCGACAGCTCAAGCTGATCGCTGAGCCTTTAGTTCCAGATGTTCTTCAGGCTTAATCACTTTTCTCACACATGTTCATTCATTTACCGAGCAGCAGAAGCCAGTGATTAAGGAGACCTGCTGCTGCACAGACACATGCGTCCTGAGCCCAGAGACTATTTCCTGTGATGGTTCTCAGCACTGTGTCGTGGTCACAGACCCACGCCGTGAGATGGTCACACTGTGTTTCTTCTCTGTGATTTGTTCAGCAGCCTGACAGCCACTAAAGTGATTCTACACTCTGACACGGGCTCAGACTTCGTGAGAGCCATCTCCCACAGTGTAAAATGCAATGAAGCAGCAAGAATGATGTTATCACACAATGTTAAGATGGGATTATCCCCGCTGCACAGATAAATGATTTAGCCTTCCTCCAGAACAGTAAGAAAAGGAAAAACGAAGCACAGAGCACGCGCACTTTAAACCTGTGGGTCATGTCACACATCAGAGGCAGCGAGTGCAGCACAGTAAAATCAGCCTCACCCTGGCTCCTCCCACAAACGCAGCCGTCTTCGTGGCCTCTGCGAGGTTGTCGTAGACGTTGGGATATCGGATCCGCTCGTAGACCCTGTCTCTGCTCAGCACAGGTTCGTGGCGGGCAGTCAGCAGGGCCTGCTCTCTGCACCGAGGCACACGTACAACAGTAAGACAGTAAACAGAGCTTTAACATTTAAATTGGTACAGTGTAAGATCCACGGCCCGGCCCTCATCTTGATCCACAGCTGTGGAAACAAACCTGTGATGGATGAGCCCAGTGAAGAGGCAAAGATGTGAGGCTTTATAAAGGGGCTAATCTTTGTCTTCACACTGCGCTGGATCTGCACACGCTAACATTTTAATTAAACAGATCGCTGCTTTTTTACCCTCTGAGATTAAACTTTTGGAAGAATCTTCCTGCCCCCCTCCAGCCCCCCCCAAAGAAAAGCAGCTTTGCTTTTTTGAAGTCGTCATGAAAAATGCAGGAGGCTGCCAGTCACACACACCTGAGAGCCCAGGTGGGCACACAACAAAGACACACAGACACTAAGATGAGGTTTGTAGAGACGACGTACCGCTGGGCTCTCATCTCTCTGGGGTCAAAGGTCAGGAGAGCATCCGTAGAGTCACCCTCATCGCCTCCTTTGAATCTCTTCCTCTCTTTCTTCTCCTCCCTTCGATACATCTTTAGCATTTGTTTCTCCTGCTCTGATTGGATGGTCACCTGGCACCCGTAGGTGGGCTTGGTCACTTCAGCGCTGACCTTGAGGCTGAGATCTGAAGGAAACAGCTCATCGTTAGTTCTCAGCAGCACGCTGAAGTCAGGTAGGAATACTTTATTAGTGTGTGGTGACAGCTCTATCTGGCAGTGCACGGGTTAAGCTTGGCCGCTGCAGCCTCCCTGTTTGAGACACAACAGCTCAATAAAGGCAGAATTGCTCTTGAAAGCAGATGAGATCTCATGATTGCACCACGGCCCGGGCTGATTGACTGAATGATTTCTTTTTTATCTCACCTAGCGGCTCTACCTGCTGCACAGCCCCCCTGCACTCTAACAGCCCCCCTCCTCCTGTCACTCTCACCCTCCCACCTCCTCGTCATCCTCTTTGCACCATCCCCCGTCCTTTATTGGCCCTCTCTCTGGGAGCTATCGTGCCTGGTTATATGTCTCTAGCAGTGACTCCAGGTTTCGAGGACTCATTTCCCGAGCGATCACAGAGCTATAATTGTGCTGAAGAGCGTCAGCGAGACAGATCAGGGTGTTTCACACAAACAGTGGTGCTTGTGGTCATTACCAGCTTTTGGGTTTGGTGGTACTGTATGGTAGCTCTGACATGCAGTGCCTGTCTGAAAGAGATTCATGGATGAAAAAGCTAAATCCATTTTACATTTGTAATGTTCCTTTGGAGCAGTGTCAAAGCAGGGCGAGTCCTTTACACTCACACATTCACATTTCTATGACAATCTTATTGTTTTTGAAGGACTGACACTGTCAAACACACACAGCGGACTCCACGCCACTGTTAGGACAGACCCTCAGACGTCTGATGAACGACTGCAGGACAGATCATCACTTCACCGTTCATGAAAACATTCAAAGCATTTTCATTTCTGAGCTGTCGGAGTGTAAATGAAAGTGTTGGGCTTCCCCATGTCCTCGTGTGTCCTCTGGGTACTGATTATATTAACTAGTGGGTCTGAGTGCATGCATGTGAGCGACACAGTTCTGTATCCCTGGTCTTAGTAAAGTCATGTAGATTTGTACTTATTAGAAGAGAAGAGTCTAAGACACTACCCAGACCTAACAAATGGACATTAGATGATGAGTGGAAACCTGCCACATGGAAAAGAAATAGAAAAAACTCATAAAAGACATGCATGAGATTTGGCCTGTTTCATATAGTGACTCATATATGACTTACTCGTTTCTCATCACTTTCACATATTGTTTTAGGAAGTATCCAAAACATACACGTTTCATTTATATAATTTTTCAAGGGATCTTATATCTGTTTTCACTCTCGTATGCTTTTCATACAAGTTTCACACACGACAGACACAAACGTTAGAAGATTTATAAATATCTTTTCCATACGGGCTGATATGTGTTTGCCTGCAGCACGAACATTTGTGCCAGTTAAACATTCCTGCAGTCACAGAGTCATTCAATGGAAACGTGACTGTGCAGAAACGAGTAGCAGACATTCATGTTGTTTTCTTGCTGGGCTTGCTTACATGGAGAATGATGCAAACAGCCCCGAATCAGCCGAGCTCGTGTCTGCTCGCTGTCACACGGTCGTCTGTGAGCTTCTGTTCTGGTTATGGCCCGAGGACGCCTGTGGGAGCTTGTCAGAGCAACACGAGCATCATCGCCTTCTTTTTAAGGTTGTCAGAGAGACAGCTTCCTACATCCTGTGGACACCTGCTGTACTACATCTGTACAGACATGCTCAAAGGCACGAAGTGCAGGATGGCAGGCTACCTCTGGGTATGCACAGGTGCTTGGACCTTTCCTCGCCTCGATGATGTGTCCCCATCTCAGCAACCAATGTGGAGAACATAATGTCCTTACTCAGCTTCAGGTTTCTCAAACCCAGCACAGTCCACGTGGTCCTATCAGCTGTTTCTAATCAGTGAGGCCTGAAACAGAAGGTTATCATATGTATCCATGTTAAATGTTATCTGCTGTAATAACAAGTTACTTTGTCATTAACGACCCTGCAAGCATCCAACTAGGATGTGACCCTCTGCCACGTTCTTTCCTTCCGTTAAACACTGCAGCCTTGTAAACGTTAGCGGCCCGGCAGGCAGTTCCTCCCGTGTTCCTCCCTGTACACGGAGACAGCAGGAACAGGCAGATGTTTCCACTGCCCACGGGAGCCTAGAATCAGCTCATCAAAGTGTGAGGGCATTAAAATGTACCACACTGGGTACGACTGCCTCAAATATTTCTTTCCAAAATTGGTCAAACACTTTCTGCGAGTGTGGCCATCTCGTCTTTTAAGGGTGCGTCCCACACGGCGCTGCCTCTGTCGGCCGCTGACACGTGGAGAGGAGCCACCGAGAGAATCTGCTCTGATAAACATGCAAGTGCCAAACTGGAATTTAAAAAGCTAATCAGCAAGAGACAGGCATTCGCACTAAATCCCACTCTTCTTGATGGCATGCAAATAGTGGAAAATTTAATCAGCCTTTTTTAACCCCTCCTGATTTCACCCTCAGTTGTCAAGGCAACAGTAATCTCAAAAGCTGTCTGGCGAGTCCAATTTCTCGACGCTGATCGGGACTTCTTCGAAATTGGCTGACGTGTGAAACAGCGCATGGGTGTGACCAAAATCACAACTGAAACGTTTTCACGCTAACGAGCTGTTCTGTTACTGTCCAAGTACAGTGGCTTACATCAGCCCACCAGTGGGGTCCAGCAACACCACCACTGTCCCAGCTGTGGGTTGGCAGCATTTCACCACAGCTTTGCTTCTGAACATTTACACGTCATCTAAATGTGAGGTGACTGACAGATATTTTGCACACCTGCTGTCAGACTGTTATTGAAGTGAAACTAACACGTCTCTTCTCAGTGTGTGAGAGGTAGACTGAACATGGCTGTGTCCACTGGTTTATATATGTCTATAGGTTGCTTCTCCCCAAGACAAGAACCAACAGACTTAAAAACTCCTTTGTCCCACACGCCATCAGACTGTTTAACTCCTCTCTGGAGGGGAGAGGGAGGGGAAACAGGAGGACAAAGGAGGGGGGAACAACTAAGCTGTAGTGCCTCTTCACCTCACTGTCAATACCTTGTGCAATACTTTTTGTAAATAGTCAACAGTGCAATAGACTCAATACTTGAAATGTGCAATTCACTTGTATTTTTATTTTTTTATTCCTATTTATTCTATTTATCCCCTTTGTATATTTTATTTATATTGTCTCTGTATTATATGTGTGTGTGTGTGTGTGTGTGTGTGTGTGTGTATGTGTGTGTGTGTTGATATATAATATTCTGTAACTTCTGTCGGTGCTGTGCTTTTTTGGAAATCGAATTTCCCAGAGGAACCCCGAGTTAATCAGTTCTATCTTCTTATATTAATGGTGCTGTTTCAGTGAAACCATCTGCTGACCTTAACATCAGTGTGAGACACCAGTTTAGTGAATGTGACAGCTGCAGGTGGCGTAGGCTCCTTTAAACCACACCATCATCATGTAGGCTCCTGACAACCTCTGACACTTTTAATTTGGGAACCGCGCTCCCATTCATGAATCACTTTTCATTCATTTTTTGGTTTTCCAGGTTTTTCCGAAGCTGAGTTTTCAGCATGATAATAACCTTTGTGCCGTCACGTTGCTGTGACTGTGCAGGCCAGAGCTGAAGTGGTGAAAGCTTTCCACACTCCTTCCTGACACGACTGCTGCAGTTTGTGGTCAAAATGACCATGATAAGAAGATGTGTTCACACAGAGCTCTGACGAATCCCTGAGAATAATCACTGTTTGGTCTCTAATGAGAAAGCAGAAATGATGTTTGCCTCTGGTGACACGAGTATTTCAGGGACGACCGGGCGCGTAGGATTTTTTAATCACAAAAGTTTGAAGCTTAATCATTAAAGTGAGACACTATCTCTACTTTCAAGATTAGGCTTCAAACTTTCCTTTTTGCTAAAGCATATAGTTAGGGCTGGACCAGGTGACCCTGAATCCTCCCTTAGTTATGCTGCAATAGGGCTGCCGGGGGATTCCCATGATGCACTGGGTGTTCTTCTTCACTTCTACTCACTATGTGATTAACAGACCTCTCTGCATTGAATCATATCTGTTATTAACCTCTGTCTCTCTTCCACAGCATGTCTTTATCCTGTCTTCCTTCTCTCACCTCCAACCAATCACAGCAGATGGCCCCGCCCCTCCCTGAGCCTGGTTCTGCCGGAGGTTTCTTCCTGTTAAAAGGGAGTTTTTCCTTCCCACTGTCGCCAAAGTGCTGCTCATAGGGGGTCATATGATTGTTGGGTTTTTCTCTGTATGTATTATTGTAGGTCTACTGTACAGTATAAAGCGCCTTGAGGCGACTGTTGTTGTGATTTGATGCTGTGTAAATAAAATTGAAACTGAATTAAATTTATTATTTCAATTGATATTGATAATCATTTGTGGTTACCACATCAGGCCAATCACCCGCCAGGGTCACCAGAGTGAAGCTTTGACTGTACTGATTTCCTCACGGGGTTTTGTTTGTTTTTGTTTATTTCCAAATAGCCTCCCTAAACTTTTGGATATACTTAAAGAATTTGGGACAATTTCTGGATACAAGGTGAATTTTGGGAAGAGCGGGGCAATGCCTATAGGAACGACAACTGGGGCATTTTCGTCTATTTTAGCACCTTTCAAACCCAGCTATAACTAAATATTTGGGTGACACAGAACCAAAGACTTGTATAAAACGAATTATCTTCCTTTATTGTCTTAGCTAAAAGAGGATTTTGGAAAGTGGGAGTCCTTGCCTCTTTCGCTGGGTGGTAGAATAAATATCATCAAGATGAGTATATTTCCTAAATTTCTGTATTTTTTCCAATGTCTTCCAATTTTTTAACCAAGTCTTTCTTTAACAATCTGAATAGTCAAATTTCTTCCTTCATTTGGAACAAAAGCCACCTAGTCTGAAACAGACCGTGGTGCACAGGGGGCTTAGCACTTCTAAATTTTTTGTTGTATTACTGGGCATCTAATATAAGGGATGATTGTACTGGGTAAAAGTTCATGGTAATTAATTATCATGGGTAGCACTGGAGCAGTGAATCCTCCCTGCTGTCTTTGCTGTGTGCCAGATTAGCCCTGGCAGGACCTGTCTCCAGCTTTACCACAAACCCTCTCGTCATCCATTCACTGACATTATGGTACCAGCTCACTTTAAACAGGCTGAACTCTCCCTTATTGCACCACCGCATAGACATTGCCTGTTCTCTCCATCCTTAACGGACGAGGCATTTAACAAATGGACAAAGCTTGGAGTAAGTTCAATGAATGCTCTTCTCACAGACAATATCTTCTGTTCACTTGGACAATTGGTGACTAAGTTCAAGATCCCTCAGTCACATTTTTTCAGGTATCTACAACTTGGGAACTTTGTTGCTTCTAATACTGAGTGCTTTCCGTCCTGTCCACCTCCGTCTCTTTTGGAGGATGTTTTTGATCTTAAACTGGACGCCAAGCGGGTTATAAGTGATGTTTATGAGCTGTTAAGTAATTATAAGCTGTCCACACTGCAATCTCTTAGGGAACAATGGGGAAGAGGATGGCCCAGACTTGGCATAGGATCATCACCATAGGATGTTTTCATCATCTACCTGCCTCCAGCATGTGGTGATTCAGTTTAAAGTGGTTCACCGTCTCCACTGGTCTAAAACTAGATTGAGCAAAATCAAGGATGGGTTTGACCCCACATGTGACCGGTGTAGACAACAGCCTGCTTCTGTACTTCACATGTTTTGGACTTGTCCAAAATTGGGTAGCTTTTGGAAAAGTATATTTGAAACCATGTCCAAGATATGTGGCATTCCAATTACAGCCTGTCCATTTATGGCCATTTTTGGGGTGATGCCAGTCTTTCTGAATCACACTCTGATCTTCTTGCACTCTTTTGGCCGTAGGTTGATCTTATTGAAATGGAAAGAGCCACTTCCATCTGTCTATGGGCACTGGGTTAAGGATGTCATGTACAATACTCAGCTGGAAAAGATCGGCTACACTGTAAAAGGTTCGGCTCGGACATTTTATGACATACGGAAACCTTTTCTAACTTACTTTGAAAGTTTAAATCCAGATACTATTGCTTAATGTGTGTGTGTTTTGTTTTTTCCCCTTGCTTGCATTCATTTTTTATGTTATTATTTACTTTTTATCTGTAATTTTATTTTATCTTATTTCTTTCTTCTCTGGCTGGGTTTTAGTTACACTGTTCTGGAAGGGGGGGGAGGGCTGTTTGTTAATACTGCTTTAATAGTTGTTAAAAGCAATTTTTTGTTCAATAAAAAGACCTCGATCAAAAAAAGGTGTGTCTCTCATAAACACCCACACCTTCTAGGGTGGATGAAATGAACTTACATGTAACAGCTCATCTGATTAGTCGTTCCAGTAACTCTGCTTCAATGTTATCTCTATGGCATACATGCTAACATGCTAACAGGTTTGAGTAGAATATCAGTCAAAACCCCCGATGGTCCAGCTGCAGTCCTCACCATAACAAAGCCAATAACACAAAGTGACGGTATCTCAGTGCTTTATAGATTTATCATGACTTTGTGTTCCTACTTGGCCATTTGAACTGATACTGGTAATTATGGTAATTGTGTTTTCTACAACTTTCAGGGACTGGTGCCACCTGACGGTTGTACAGCCTGGAGGCTGAGGGTTAGCACTGGCAGCTGCTAGTCTTGATTTGTTATTTATAGTTTGATTGACATGCTAATTAGTAACTAAAATAAATGTAGTGGAGTACACCCTGTGCTCCCTTTGCAGAGCAGCCCTGCACACTGCAGATATTAATGCAAGAGAGTGGACGGGTGGCTTTAACCCTTTAAAGCCGGTCGGGGCGGCCACGCTTCGTTTTGCGTAACTATTTTTAAATCCCGGTAGCACTGCAACCACGTAAGCTAGCACAATAATTTTTTTTGCATATGAAACTGGAGGAGTTGTACTTACATCTGATGCCATCAGCTTGTCCTCGGTCACAGTTTCCTTCCACATATAGCTTTGCAAAAACTGCATAAAAAGCACTTGCAGCAACAAAAACATAATATTCCAGAAACACGCTTTGCCGATCCGATCAGCTGTTTGTAACACTTCCTACGTCCATCAGCGCGAACTATTGCATGACCACATGACCTGCCCGAAACCGGAAGTAACGTCATTTTGCGGAAATGTAGTTTTTTTACCATTAGGGCCTCATGAGCCTATACTGGTGTTTTTAAAAGTTATGTTTGGCTTTGTGACTTTCTGTGTCGTTTCTGGGATGCTTAGGACTCATATTGCTCTGCTGGAAATAGTTTATTTGATGCATATGCTGTTTTTTTGCAAATTTGCATTACAATATTTATTTTCATTTTTCCTGCAGTATATAAAAATTGGTGTATTTCAAAAATAAAACTATGAAGACACTTAAAATAAATTTCCTGTGGTGGGAAACTATTTTGTGCAACTTTTTTGTATTTACAGTTTTGAGGGATAAGTCTCTTAAATTTCTCTAACTAGAAATATATGTTAAAAAAACAAAAACGATTTTAAATGTTTTTGTAATTCATTGCACTTTTTTGCACTTTATGTAATTACTATGCACTTAATGCAGACATATTATTAAAATTTTGGCTGTAATGGTTGTATTGATGTATAGCAACTTGAAATGCTCCCAGAAATGGCTCCACAGCATGTAAAAATATACTATAAGCTCTGGCGGACTTGGTTCTATGGTAGGTCTTAAAGGGTAAATCAACCTGCAGATAGTTTTACTATAATCAGCTACATGTTCAACTCTCCCTCAGACTAAGCCAGGAGTTTGTCTCCATGCAGGCACCTTTTTGCAGCTTTTTAGTTCATTTATTTTTGTAAAAAAACAAACAAAACCTCCCTCACTTTTTAAAAGTCCTTAAGAAAAGTTAAAAACACAAACGGACAAAGCTGACAGACAAACGGAGAAATGCTCTCAGTTCTCAGTCATTGTTAGGGAATCAGGTCAGGGCTGTGACTACCACTGCATGTCGGACCAGTCGCATGCTGAATGAAATGAAGGTTCAATGCAACAATGTGTGAACTGTTATCAACAGGAACATTAAGCAGACTTAATGCTGGATGATAAGAAGTTAGGAAAGACTGCTAAGATGGTCTACTGTAGATTCAAATGTAGCACCAAACATCTATGTCTCTAAGACTCATCATCATTATCTGACAACAGCGTCTAAACACGCCCAGCTTCACTCCCTGATGGCGAGGAAAGCACAGTCAGCTGGACACACACACACACAGCAGGTTAGATAAATAACAACCATCCCGTCCACACATGCAGAGAAATACTGCAGCACTTTGTTACACAGTGCTACGGTCCAGTGCTAATATCTCAGTATCCTCTGATACCACCATGCAACAGCATCAGAGTTGTTAGCCTGTGTTGCTAACACTCCAACAGTCAGTCACAGCAAGCAGAGCAATGGTGCCTGTGTAACCTTATACTTCAGATACGTTTAAAACTGCAGGTTATTACCAAGGACATCTGAAACTCTGTGTTTAACCCTCACCGATCAAACGAGCTTCTCCCTTTTAGGCTAGTTTTACTGTGCAGGACTGTCCCTACAGTGCAATCCAATCCAAAGGATGCAGTCATGTTAGGACGCTGCGCACTGAACACAGTACTTATTCTTCCATGAGTATTTCCCCCCCTGAGGTGACATGCCTGCCATGGGCCTTACCTGATGGATAGACAGTCCTGTCAGGTTGGATGCGGAGGAGGGAGTCAACAATGGCCGCCCTTCGCTGCAGAAGGGTTGAGATCATGTCCAGCCCCTCTGGGCCGAGCAGCTCAAACAGCTGGAGACAGGAACAGGAGAAGACAGTCAGTACTTGGAAAAAAACATTTCTCATTGGAAATGAATAGACGTGACAGGCTTGTGAGGATCAGTGGAACAATGCAGCATCCTTATCCCTCGTCTATAAGGGTTGGTCTCAGAATGGAGGCTGTGACAGAGAGCACAGCAGGAAACTGTCGAGGCCTTGCTTTGCTCTTACTTCGTCTTTTTAATCTGTGTCTATACCTTGTAAAGCACTTTGTGATCTCTTATCTAGAAATGTGCTATATAAATAAAATTTTACTTTTTTTTACTTACTCTGTGGTTTCTAAACTTCGTGGTCCCTGTGAATATCTGTTCTATTCACGCTGGGAGTGAGAGGAGAGGTGATGTCCTCTCCTCTCAGTGGACGGAGGGGGTGAGGTTTCATCTGCTCACAGGGATGTTTTTTAAATGAACTCTCATGAATCCTGGCCTTGGAACTGACTGATTAGGTGTGGGCTCTGCAAGGACAGAGACAGACTTTCTCCTTCAAATGGCTTGTGTGCAGTCTCCATCCTTCAGGCAAACGTTAACTGTGTAATAAGTCTGCACGTGCACAGCTACGGGTCAGCAGTGGCAAGGTCTGTGTGGTCTGCTCATTTCCAGTGAGTAAATGGAACAAAAGAACCAGAGTGGAGCTGAGTCACAGGAGGGCATCCTGAAACCACGTGCACAGGAAAAATACACTGAAGATTCCTTTTCAGGAGGATGGTGGTTCGATCCTTGACTCCTCTGAGCCTAATGCCAAGATTGGTGCTGAAGAGGAGAATTACACAGGATGAATGCGGACAAGTCTATGCATGGAATAAAGTAGCTTTAATGCAGGTTTGGAACATCAGTCCATTTACCTGGTCAGGATTAAAAAGGCCTTTTTTATCTGATTCACCTGCTGTTAACATCCAAGCAGCCATGAAATAAGAACAAAGTCAGAAGCAGTACTTACCACTGTAACTGTAACTGTAACTGTAACTGATCCTGTGCCCAGTTTGGATCATCTGCACCAACGACTGGATAATTATAGCACAGCTTAACTCATTTAGGACGGCCTTACTAAACTAAAGAGCATTTTTACATTTATTACCGTATTGTTTGGAAAATACGGCGCACTTAAAATCAATCCTTTGATTTTTCCGAAAGTCGACAGAGCCCCTTATAATCCCGTGTGCCTTATGTATGAACTCTGGTTGTGTTTACTGACATCGAAACGATTTTATGTGCACAACGCTCGAAAATCTGTCAAATGTTTTAGTACGACTTTTATGCTCCTTATATCTGGAACAAACTCCCAGAAAGCCTCAGATCAGCTGAAACACTCAGTTTATTTAAATCCAGGTTGAAGACTCACCTGTTCTCAGCTGCATTTGAATAAAGCACCAAATCCACACTTTTAAGCTTAAATTTCAAAACTTACATTAACTACTGATTTTATCTACTGTTCTGATTTTATCTGTTTTGATTTTATATACTGTTTTGTTTGTTTGTTTGTTTGCTCAACACCAACAAGACCGAATACTTAGAGGCTGGCCCCCAGACCGACGGCACGATCAGCGTCGATGGAGAAAATCTGGCGAAAGTACCTCATTTCAAATACCTCGGATCGATGATCAGCAATGACGGCGATATCCTACTAGATGTACGAGCCAGGATCAACGCAGCGTGGATGAAATGGCGCCAAGTCACCGGCGTCCTGTGTGACCGAAGAATGCCCAATCGCCTCAAGTCAAAGATCTACAAGAGTGTAGTGCGCCCCGTCGCCCTCTATGGATCCGAGTGCTGGCCAGCCACCGCAAAGCACGAACAAGCCCTTCACACGATGGAAATGCGGATGCTGCGATGGTGCCTAGGCCTGACACGATGGGACCACATCATGAACACCGACGTTAGAAAGAGGATGGGAATCGCGCCAATCACTGATAAGATGCAAGAAGCGAGGCTGCGGTGGTACGGACATGTGGTACGGAGCGATGAGAACTCAGTGGTGAGAACAGCACTGCGGCTCAGCCCCCAAGGACGTCGACCTAGAGGCAGACCAAAGCGGAGATGGATGGACCGAATCAAGGACGACGTGAAGAAGATCGAAGCCGATCTGACCGACGCCCTTGACCGACCCAAGTGGAGACGACTTTGCAGAAAAGCGGACCCTGCAACCGAGCGGGAAAAACGCTAGGAGGAAGAAGTTTGTTTGCTAAGTGGGTTTAGAGCTCTGGGTAGCTCCCCAACTGGGTCTAGAGAGTATTTTAAATTCAGGGAATTTAAAATAGAAAGTAGCTCGTCCACAGAAGGACTGGTAGCTCCCCTTACGATAAGGGTTCAGATCGCGCGAACAGGTGTGAATGTGAGTGTTTAGTTAGTTTGTTTGTTTGTTTTAATCAATTTTAAATCATGCTTTTTATTTGTTTTTGTTTCTAATGTCTCTGTAAAGCACTTTGAATCACCTTGTTGTTGAATTGTGCTATACAAATAAATTTGCCTTGCCTTGCCTTGCCTAGTACGACTTTGCTAAGCTACGAAGCCGCACCGCTTGATGGATTGTCGGAGCATTACGGCTATTGTAGGCGGAGCCTCGCGGAGTGATACGTACTGCGCTTCAACATAATGTTACCGTATTGTGTGTGTTTAACCTCTTTTTAAGTTTTGTGGATATTATACATGGTTATGCTGAGGATATGTCGGCTCCACTGGAAATGCCTTTTGGTTAAACTGTCAGCGAGGAATTTGCATTTGCACTGTTAAACGTTTATATAACTTTAATGCAGATAAAAAACAGCTGCTTGTTTAAGTGAAAATACATTGATGGGTTTTTTTTGCACTAATAAAGTTGTGGAGTTTTATTTTGTATTTTGTCTTGTGTCAATTATATCGTCAGTTATATCGTTATCACAAATTCTCAAATGTGTATCGTGATAAATATTTTTGGTCATATCGCCCTGCTCTAACCAAACACATCGATCTATTAACGTGTTTATAGGCGGACGTTCTCCTACAGTGCTGTTAAAAAGGTTTAAAGTGTATTTAAATCCTGGAAAAGCTGGCAAGTTTGACCGTCTACACACATTTTTAAAAGTTGTGTAACATGAATAATTCAGCAGTCAGATGAAGCAACAATGCAGAGTCGTGTGTACAGAGGATCCACTTTCACAGAGCTGGGTTCTTCTACCAAAACAATGTTTAAATGACACCCAGCTGATCGCCTCAAAGCTCCCAACACAAAGTTGCTGAGCAGGTAGCATCTCCACATAGGAGAAATATGAGAACAGTGATATTCTGAGCACAGAGCATCAAATCATGGCTGGACTAAAGGTTTGTAAGAGGGGAGAGTGTACTGTGCTAACTGGATCACTTGTATCTAAAGCACGAACAGCAGACCAAACTATCAGAGGATCGATACATCAGGCTTTGTTCACTGAGACACTGAAGAGCAACTGTAGGAACAATTCTCACACTCAGGATTTAGTAAATGAAAACACTCCAATCATGTCATGGAGAGAAGGAGAAACAGGGAGGAAGGCTAACACATGGCAGCATTAGGCGTGGTGTATCCCAATGAATCACACTAAAGGTGGGTAAATCAATATGAAGGTGAAAAACACTGGCAGACAATGAATTAAGCACAGAGAAATGGGAGCATTCACCAGCAGTGAATCATCTCCACCCTGATAAATGAGAAGCAGTACTCCACCCTCGGGTTTGATCTTTGTGGGGAAGGACTCAGACGGAGACAGAATAATGAGCCCAGGCATCTCCAAGCTTTGAACAGCTACTTAAGACCACAAGCTCTGACTTGCCTTCAGTACAATGGTTCCTCCACTGCACATTTACTGAGAAAGGCAAACATCCTAATATGATTTAAAGCTTTTTGAAACTCTCAGATATGCTATGAACGATAGGATGATAGGATGAACGATCAGGTCTGAACACAGGTCAACTGAACAGTCCTCTGACTCTTGTTTTGGACCTGATCACTGCCAGATACACTTCTCAAAACAGATCTGACTGCATCCAACCAGAAATAATAGGAAGTGAGATCATTAGGTTATGGATTAGCACCAGTATCGGTACCAGTACCCGTGCCAGTATCAGTACCAGTGCCAGTGATAGTATCAGTATCAGTACCAGAAAAGCAACATTTAACGAGTATAGTCCAACTGCTTGTGGTAAACACAGAAGGGTTGGTCATGATTTCCAAATTTCCAGATGTAAATAAATAAATAAATAAAGTCATACATAAACACATAGTAGGCATAACATAACAACATAATATTTAATAACTACACCCTTTTTGGCTCCTACCTCAAAGCACACTTTGTGCTGTAAATCTTACGTGCTGCATAATAATAATATTTAATATTTAGTGTTATATACACAATCACGATGCTGTTGTGTTTATTATATTGCTGGTTTTGTTTGCTTATTTTCTCTTTTTTTTCTCTCAACAGGTGATCCAGGTGATATATATAAAAATGTGTTTTTTTGCCCCCCCTCTTTTCTTTTCCCTTTTCTTTGTCCTTCATCACTATTCCTCTTCCCTGCTGTCTTTGTTTCCCTCCCTCCCCCCTGTCATGTCTGTCCCATCTGTAACAACTGAAAATAAAATAACATAAATAATAACAACATCCAACATGTGGCGGGACTTCTGCTGGAAGAACATTATACGCTATTTCATAACGCCTAAACAGAAGTCTAAATTCAGTGCTACACCTGCGTTTTGCTGGAGGAATTGTGGGGAAGTCATGGCTGATTACGGTCATATATTCTGGTCCTGCCCACTCATACGACCCTTCTGGATGGAAGTTATTAAGATACTTACAGATGTGTTGGGATTTCACGTGTCTTGTACATTTACCTCATTGTATCTGGGATATTTTATAGATTATTTGGTTTCAGATGATGTTTACCTTCTGAAAGTTCTCTTGGCTTCTGCGAAGAAGGCCATAACAAAACGCTGGCTCTGTAGAGATCCTCCCACTGTAACACTTTTTA